AAAAAAAAAACAAAAAAACTGCAATGGTTATTTTTGGTGCTTAATTTCATTTTAGATTATTTGTGTTATTTGAATCAATGTAAGTCAAAACAAACAGATGCTAACAAGTGCTTCTAACAACTTCTGACCTAGAATCCCACCAAAAACAAAGCCAATGTTCAGACTAGGTCGACAGCTATTTTCATCTTTTGTCAAATACTTTTTTGCTAATCACTTTGACAATAATTTTTTGTACAAAAAAAACCAAACAAGAATTGCATTATTAATTAATTTATTTATGCAATTTTGTGCAAAAGAATAAAGTCAAATTACAAACGAAATGACAGTTGTTGGGCAGTTAGTTCTATGTGATGTTTGAACTGAGTATAATTAGTAATTCTCAGCTGATAAACAATGTTAAGCGCTTTGTCTATTATCACAAAGAATCTCTTCAATTCATTTCAGCCACTCTTTTTCTGACTTCCACGTTAGACAAAGTTTTACTGCCCCATTCGTTTCCATAAGAATCTACCTTTTAAGTCATCTCACGCAATTAATTCGCTTCAATTGAACACAGCTTTGTGTCAGAGATGAGCATATCTTTCTCAGCTTTCTTCACATCACTTACGAAGCTATTAGTTTTTCCACTTAATAAATATATCATTTTAAGCTTTCTATTTAAGAAATTAATTTTAGCTTAGCTCAAACATTACTCACACTTACTTGTGTTTGCTCTTATATCCATTTGATATGAAATTTGATTAATTTTTTGTATATGATGTCAGTGAAAAAAGGCTTTAGACGTTTTATCTGTTTGAATTTTTATTAATTCAGATAGAAATGCTTACTTCTTACTTTGTTTAATGCTATATTCCACGCCAAAGCTATAATTATGAACAGCTCTTTTAATAATTTTTGTAACTAAGTTTAAATACAAATTTCCTAGAGTTTTATTTCTTTCAGCTAACTCTTATTATTGCAAAAAAAAATTTAATTTTTATTAACAGTACTGTAATGCATATTCTTTTCAATATACATCTGAGCAAAATGACAGTAATCTCTTGATATTACTGAATAATTTAATGAAGTCACGAAGATTTCTAATTATTATTTTATCAGATTCTTAAGATAACTCTTAAGTAGACTTGTGCTATACTAGTATGATTCTTACTTTACGAGTTCATAAAAATTTTCATATTCTACTTCAATTTGTTCGCTAAAAAAAAATAGCCATATAGCAAAGACATTACTGAGCCATTGCCTATATCGAAAGTCATTTGCTTATTAAAGTGAAGCTTATAGATTGTTGTAATGGGCGGAAATTACCCATGTTATTCTTGAAAGGCACTTCTGGACCTGAACATTCAGACTCGCACTTTTGTACTGTAGCAAAACAAACTTGGGAAGAACTGATCTGATTAAAATGCGCTTACCTTCGTGTATTTCTAGTTTTTATAGCTTGCAGTTATTTTTTAATTGTCTGATAAGTTTCAATAATTAAATACTTTTGTGCATTCCATACTAAAGTATTTTTGCATAATATAAACGGGAAATTTGATATACAAATTGAGTAATAATAACTTATTTTGTATATTTTTCAGATTTTTGATGAAAAAGCAAATAAATAGTAATGATAGATTTGCCCAAGTGAAATGGATATTACGCAGTCATCCCTCTCGATGAATATTATTCTTGTCATTAGTATTACGAGATTTCTCATACATTTAGCAATTTTATGAGAATAAATGTGCAATGATCGCTGGAAATTTGCGTAACAACTTACGTATTTGCTCTACACAAAATGACGGTCATTAATGTTTCTAAATTATTCATTCATATTTCCATAAACTCTTATTCATGTGTTCGCAGAATTATTCACTACTGCATAATAGAAGTTATGAGTTCAAGAATAAAAGCAAATTTGATTTGATTTTATAATTTTCAAATTAATCAAAAAATGAAAATAGTTTGAATTCCTTCGGGCGGGACTAATTTATTCATACTTTTTTCACGTAAAGTAAGTTTTTGTCTAGTCTACTAAATCTGCACAGAATGTAATTTGACAGTATATCAAAATTCAACACCTAAACAACTAAAATATTAATTCTTGTACTAGCAGTAAAGTAATTTATTACATCAGTTTATTTATCGTTTATCTTAGCTCGCAACATCGAATAATAAACAAATTGTTGAAGATTAGTTTAATCTTACTAATTTACTTGCTCGGCTTATTATAATTAAGTTTTAAGCCGTCCATAAGGAAGATGCAACTTGTTCGACTCGTAAGGAAAGAGACCGAAATGACTTTGTTGAGTCGAGACACGTGTACCAAACTGGACCCCAGTTTAGTAATACTTATTCCGACAAAAAAAAGGGATTTCTCTGGAATACTACTGAAAGAAAAGCAAAGTAAGTTAAATTTAATGAAAAGTTGAAATTTTCAAACTTGAATCTAACTTCTAATAATTATTCAGAATTCTTGTCAACCTGAATCTTCTTTGATTGCTGATGTGATGTAATTTTTAGTGGTTCTGAATTAAATTCAGAAAATGCAGTCAATAAATTGAAAAATTTAATTGATTTTCACTTACTTTTAAACATTGGTGGTACACATTATCGAATTCGTAACTCTACCATTCAGGTAACTCTTTGCTTTATCTTGAGGTAACAAATTTGATAAGTTCTTTTCACACTGCGTAATGTACCATTGTGTGATTTTGTGTAATTGCTAATTTTTGAGCAAACTTGTAGATCAATTTTGTTATGATAAATAGTTACTTATGAAATTTTTGCTGATAAAAGTCTTAAACGATGATTACAGTACCGTTGTCCATCATCGTTATTAGCAGAATTCAGCCGAGAAACGCATTCTGAACGGATAGAAAAATGTGATGGCTACATAAGGGATACCAAAGAATATTTTTTCGAACGGTCAGGAAAATTATTCGAACCCATTTATGATTTCTTAACAACAGGGCATTTCCACCGACCGGGGGATATCTGCCGGGAGAGACTTTTCAAAGAACTGGACTTCTGGAATATCAAAAAGTTAACTTTTACGTTACTTTGATAATAATCGCTATTATTATCATGCTTTAATCAAATCATAATTTGATCGTTCGAGACAACATTCAGTCTAATCATCGGATTCAATTTAGAGATCTCTTTGCTCCTTGCTGTATGTCCATGGCGATGGGCGAAAGTGAAGAAGAGGAATCACAAAATCTGCCTGACGGAAGTGTTGCTTATAGTTAGCTTCTCAAGCATCTATTTCCGATACTATTAATTAATTTAATACAATTTAATCTAACAAATTATTCATTTTTCACTTCTCCAATTTATTTATTCAACTTAGCAGCTTTTTTGACAAATTCCGAGCAAATCATTGCTAAAAGTAGTTTGAATCAAACCAAAGATTAAGATTTACTTTTAAATAAAGATCATTGTGAGAGAGTATTTTGCTTTCTGTTTCAATCAAATTTTAATGGCTACAATAAATTTTTAAACTCCCGCATTTACTTACCACATTTGACTTGGATAAAAAATTAAAAACGGATCGAAAAAGAGCTATACAAACAAATTCTTTCAAATTTTCGTTCTAAAAGATCTTTTTTAACAACCCAATTTGAATATTTAAACAAGTGGTTATCTAAGGCGATCAATTTGACGGGGTTTGTTATGCTAAACAGCGTAGAATGTTGTGGTTAGTATTGGAGGACCCAAGTTCAAATACTGCTGCAAAAGTTAGTTTGTACCTTTGATACTTCTCTTTTTTAAATTTTCTGGACAAAAAGCATAATTGAGCTGAGTTTATTGCAAGTGAAGTGGAATTTACGTTATTTTTGTTTGACGTAGAATTCATTTCTGCTTCATTTCTTCCTTCTGAGCAACTGTTTGCTAAATTGGGAGGATTGAATTTTTTATTTTTGAATTTATTATTTGTAAAGAGTAAAATAAAAAATACAAAACACTGAAGTGCTTGAAGTTAAACTATACCGTTTGTTGCAAAAATTTTGTCTTTCAATAAGAATAAATAAATACTATTTGAATAATTTTGAAAATAGAAAATTCAAAAAGACTTAAGAAGTTAAATTGATTAAACAAAAGTGTAAATTGCATTCACTGAAATTTTGCGCTGAAATATACTGTATATGGTCATTGCAGTTGTTTGCGATTCTAAGCATAACAATGGTACTGACCTCAGTGACCGGTATGATTCTTGGCTCAGTACCGGAATGGCAGGGAACTCTCAGTGCCAATCATACTGCACACAATAAACTTGATTTTCGATCTAATTCTACTTTGGAGTCTATTGAATTGGCAAGTTTGAAGTTAAAGTTCCATTTGTCTCTTTTTTAATTTTCTAAAATTTATTCTTCAAAAAGCAATAACGAATTTCTAAGCAAATTAATATATCATAGTTATATTTTAAAATTGATTACTTAATCGGATTTAGATTACTAGAATACTTTTGATCCTTTTTACCTTTAAACAAATGCTCCAATTTTTTATAATCTCCTAAAATCAACAACAGTACTAGTCGGTATAAATAAATATTAATTGTATATATGCGTTTCTTGTAAGAACGCGAGTTAAAGAAAATATAGAAAAGATAGAAAATATTGAAACCATTTTCAACTTTCTAAAAAATCATTCCCCTGCATTTGCGGTCCAAAATTAATAATGGAGTGGATAAAACATTTCAACTGGATGATACTTGGCGGTAAAGTAATACATTTTCAGGTTTGTATTATATGGTTTACATTTGAATATTTCATACGGTTTTTTGTCTGTACACGAAAAATTAAATTTGTATCAGAGCCATTAAATGTCATCGACAGCTTGACGATCATACCTTTCTACATGGAGATTTTACTCTCAGCCTGCGGTAAGGCAGCTTATTTGAGCTTGCTTTTATAATTTCTTCATTAATTGATAAATTTCTACGGAAAGCTTCAAAATTGAACTGGTAAAATGACGTTCTTCAGAAAAAGTAATATTAAGAAAGCCATTACACGTTAACAAATTATCTCGAAGAGTGAATTTCGGATTGTAAAGTCTGAGTAATTTTTGAAATTTGTGGACATTTGAATAAATAATCAGTCCGATAACTCAGTTTTATTTTTGGCTGCGCATAAATAAGCATGTAAATTCATAAAATACATTTTTTACTCGTAATTTACTCTGTATCCGATAATTTATATACACCTAAGTGAAAGCAGCTAATTTTTAGGCTTTGTCGCACACGCCATAGGTGATGTTCGCGGTATAGCGATGGTTATGCGTGTTGTTAGGGTCATGCGTGTTGCACGAGTGTTCAAACTTGCTCGATACTCAAGTGGTTTGAAGTCATTCGGCATGACGGTCAAAACTAGGTATATTATTTGTAGCTTTGTGTTTTATGATATTTCAATTTGATTTTTCAATAATTTGAAGTTTTTCTTTGCTGAATGCATAATTTTTCCTCTCAAGATCAGTTTTGACTTTAATATTTTCACGTCTTAAATTAAGAATTCAAACAATGTCATTGCAGCCTTGCAGAATTATCGATGCTTTCACTTTTTCTACTGACTGCAGTAATATTTTTCTCCACGTTAATGTATTTTGCTGAACGTGATGAACCTAATACGAAATTTAAATCTATTGCGCACGCTGGCTGGTGGTACCTTTTCATCATTTTAAAAATTGATAATCATTATTATCATCGAGATCAAGACTCGGTGAATATTATCATAATCGAGATCAAGACTCTGTGAATTAGCTATCAATAATTTGCTATGTTACAGTACTGTTTTCAGGTGCATTGTTACGATGACAACAGTCGGTTATGGTGATTACTGTCCTGAAACATTGTGTAATTTGCATTTATTTCTAATCTTACTGCTTTTTACTTCAAGAATAAGTGTAAAAAACAATCTGTCCATTATTGGTTGTACTCAAAGGTGCACAAAACTTGTAATATTTGGCCAGTTTTAAGAAAGAATTATTTGCATATTTCAGTCGGTAAACTAATTGCAAGTTGTGCAAGCATTTCGGGTGTATTAGTGCTAGCTTTCCCGATCACAATGATTGTAGAAAACTTCTCGCGTACCTACGATAGCGAAAGGAAAGATTTCAAACGTGTACAACGTCGACGACGAATGGCAAAAGCATACAATTAAATACCTTTTGATATGAACAAATCAAGCAGTAAAGCTAACCGCAATTTCCTTGCAATTTCACGCTGATAACACTTAGACTCGTGAAGTATTCTTACTCAGACTAAAATTGTTGAGTAAATAGCATAAATTATGCATCTATTTATAACTAATTAATGCTATTGGTATTAAGAGAATTACAAATTCCTTATGATTCCACAGCATCAAATGAGTTAAGAAATATTCAAATTACCAAAATTTAAAAAATAAATTGATAGACGATTAAAATTGGCTGTCTGTAACAAAAATAATATTTACACCTATGCATAGTTTATCGTTCTTCGCAATAAAATACGTTATAAATACGCATATTTCTTGGCAGTTCACAAAATGTTAAGTAAAAGTATATGTAATTAATTAGATAAGAAGATTGTTGCTTCAATTAATTCATTTGAATTAATTTGAGGGTTTTCAGTTCTTTATGGATATCCATATGAATTGTCATGAAGGTGAGAACAATTTACATAGCTTTAATGGCAGGTTTACTGAATTAAAACCAATGCAAACTAATTGTGGTCCAAGCAAAGTGTCTGTATTACAAAGCTGAATTCTGCAACTGATACTACCTCAATCTTCATTCCAATCACAGCATCATTATATATATAGTTTATGATGTGTAAATTTATGATCTGTGAACAGTTACGAAGTTTGATCTCAATATTTCACTTTGGCCACACAAAATTTCAAATTTTGCACTGTAACGCCTAACGGCTTGTTTCATCACGTAAATATTATGTCCGCTTGATATTTTGTTTCTTGTGTAACTGTAAATCTCTATTAATTCACTGTCATTAAAGCCATTCTTGCTTGGTGTTGTTTATGATTTACATGTAAAGCACATCTGGAGAACATTGTGTTTATTTTTTAATATGCCTTAAAATAATATTGCTTAGAAGATTATAGCTTTCCCATTCATTTTCTGTACATAAACCAAATTTATGATCCGTAAACAGTTATGATGTTTGATTCAATAATATTTGGCATGACAATGATAATTGTCATAACCATTATACCACAAATGGTAATCTTTTGTAGATGCACAGTGCCTTACAGTGCATGTCTACAGGCGGAAGTGTGAAATGTGGGAGGTAGCTTCATCCGGTATACTTGCATAGTGCACTCAAACTGTAACCTACGTTTGACAATATCAGTATAAAGTAAGATAATCAGCATATATATGAACAGACTTGAGTCATTCTTCATAAAAGATTTTTCCCTCATAATTCAAATATGCTGCAGGTCCGAAGTTCTATCTAAGTATGCTCCTGCTCGTTTAAATGTGCAAAAATTGCAGCAAATCAAATGATCGTATCCATCATTTGTTACAAAAACAATCTTTCAAAAAGTCCTATAAGTAATGTAATAAAGTAAACACAAAAATGCAATTGGCCCCAAACGATGTTTTTTTTTCTTTTTATTTAATATTGCATGAGTATTTCTATTCCAAAAAC